TAAATAAATCCTTCTGCTTAAACCTTCTCTCTTGCTCTTCTTAAACACCTTCTTTAAAAATACCACTGTAACAATATTTAAAATAATACAATATGATTGATATATTATAAAAGCTAAGTATTTATACCAAATTTTTAAAAATCTATTATATCAAAGCTAATTTGAATATGAAAGCTAAAGATGAACTTTAATATATATATATTTGTTATATACAAGCATCTGTTTAAAGATGTGAGCACAATGCTATAATTGGATATAATTATAATGATTATAACAAAAAATACTATAATTCATTATAATTACAACTAATTACGACATTGCACTCTATTAGCTAAGAATTTATTGATTAAAAACAATAATTTCTTGATAATGCATATATTATTACAGGCTATTTTGTGATCACTAACTATTTTGACCCCATTGCCTAAAAATCAATGCATTTACTATTATATCACATCTTTTACTACTATATATTAAATCTTATCTGACATTTCAGGCTGTACAACAAATAAATTATTCAAATTTCATTACCAGTGAGATTTGAACTCTCAACCTGCTTAATATACCACTTGAAAATAACAACTTAACCACTTCACTAAATCATCAAACCCTTAATTTTTAGTATAAATAAAAAACTTTATCAAAGATATTATTAAAAAATCTGTTTTTAAAAAAGTTTTAACATATTTTTATATTATCAAATTTTAGAAGTATAGACTTTTTCACACTTTTATATTCATTATTCTTATTTAAAAATATAAACCCAAAATGGTTAAAGGCTATAATTCAATTATTTTTGCTAAGATTTCTAATAAAGATAATCTGTTTATATATAAAACTATTAAACAATCAATAATACATAATCTTTATACCAAATTTATCATATATATATATATAAAACAGAAAATGCTTTAAAGAATATCCAAAACCTTTTTTAAGAAAAACTATAGCTATAAATAATAATAGTTATTATATTTACAAATAGCAAAATACTAGTATAACTATACAAATACATAGCACTGCTTTGGATAACAGGTAAGTCACCTGAATCGAACCGACGGACTCTTTAACTTCCCTATTTTTGAGCCCGGGTTTTTTCAAAATACATAATAGTGAGGTACGTTTATTCTGGAACGCGCATGGGCGTTATTTTGAATCCACATACACATTTTTAGGAGACGTGATTTCGAAATAATGCCCATGCCCGCTATTTCGAGGATTTATGGCAATTATATAAGCCTATAACCAAGATAAATCATAACTTAGGTATTTCATCACTGCTCACATGTGTATACTTATCGCAATAATATATGGATCAAAATCATTTTAGTACAAACATCTACATATTAGTTGAAATACTACCAAATAATTCATCATGAGAAATTGCATCCAAGTCACTAATCCCAATTCTAGCATAATATCTAATCAATTCATCTTTATCAATTTCTTCAATGTACTTTAAAGTTCTCCAAATCTTTTCAAGCAAATCT